TAATTCTTACTTTTTTACGAAATCAAATGGACACGTATTAGCAGGTTGTCATAAAAAGCAAAAATTATTTTTTTTACGAAAGTTCTGAACGTAAATTGTACCCTAAAAACGGCTCTGTTAAGTTTTCATTGTTACACACTGTATAAGATTGGTTTCAAAAGTTCCGGGGTCGCAATATTTCTTTCAAAAAGTGGTTTATGCAAAGCGATTGATATATTGACTTTTACGAATGCTATTCTTTAAATAACATCATTTTGTAAGACCTAAGGCTGGATTATTACATTGTGGGCACGTATATCTTAAATATTTTCCTTTCATATCTCAGTGTGGTTGAATAAATTAGCTACAATATTTACCAAAAACAAAAATTGTTTATTCGAATTATTAATTCTACTTCAACTTTATAAAAAATTCAACGTACGTCTTGGTTGTATTGTCTAATTTCCCTGCGAGTATTTTCCTCCGAATAATCTTCATACTCCTCGATGTCCTGACAGAAAGTGGCACCAAAAACTATCAAGAAAATCACAAATTTCAATCGCGACATATCCGAGTTATCCTGATCGCTTCAATTGTCTTGGAGATATCGGAAAAACGTAAATTTCTTTACGTTACACACTTGCACCGTATGATATTTACTCTACAGGAGAGAACCACATCGAGAAACTATCTACTGACTATGAATGATTAAAGATTTGTTTACAACAATATGCGATTATCCTTTCACGCGATGGTGGGGGAGATCTACTCGGATCGACTGCTAGTGATGGTGTGTCAAAAGCTTTCTCCGATAGGGGCATTTAGGCTAGCCGCACACTGGCAATTATTTAATTTCGTTGATTAAATAATATAGTCAGTTGAGAGTTGCCCACTGTTATTTTCAAGGTCTTAGTCGGGAGCGAATACAAGGGTCAGAATCACCCCCTGAAACTGCTATGAAAGGTGGAAAAGGTGGGAAAATTTGGTCCTCATGTGTGGCACATGAGTTGATGAGATTTGGAAAGATTTATAAATAGTCTAATCAACAAGTTCAAAAACATGAAAAATAGAGATAAAGGTCCTGAAAATATGAGCGATAGCTCATTCGATTCGGAATTACCTCTAGAAAAATGTTTTTGAAGGATTTTGGTGCAGGTAAAAAATTGCAATTGTTATTAACAAAATAAGATTTAAAAAA